AGATCTGGCGGCTAGAATCGTTAAGGTAACGCTGAGAGGGTCTATGTCCCCCAGGGTACTATCGGAGGGTACCCTGGGTACGGTTCGATATATCGGAACGTACGCCTGTGTAAATCTTGATATGGTTAGAGTTAGGGTTAGGGTTAGGGTTACGGGAGATAGGAGCAGTCAGGCGCCGACTCCTAAGGCTCGTTAGTGGCGTAGGCGAGTATTCGGTTCCGGCACCACTCTCAGATTAGTACCAGGGTACGTTCCGATCATATCGAACCCCCTCCGATAGTACCCTGGGTACAATAGACCTCTCAGCGTCGCAATCGTGTAAGTAACAGACAGGGGATGCTACCCCTCATGTTATACTATATTACCGTTCCGGTCCTCGACAATTCTATCTACTTCTATGCTGTCAAACGCCGGGGTTCGAATCTACTACCAGCCGTGCTCTGTGGTCGGCAGAGCAAAGGCTGCTACACAGGTAGACGGTAACGTGGAGGGGTGCGTGGGAGGAATTCAGCTTATTGATCCATATTTCTGTTTCTTTGCTGTGGCAAAGAGAATTTTCCTGCATACTACTATATATATATTTACATATATCATATACATATCTATATATAACATACCCATATATATCCGGATAGTATATATATATGACTAGTTAGCCTCGAATTCGCCGCACAACAAACGTTCATGGGCATTACGAACCTGCATTCGCCGTCTCCCGGCGGCGTCGTCTCCCCTCTGTCGCTCCTCCTCTCTCGCTCCCGCGCACACGCACATTATATATGTTAGGAGTAAATAATAGGGTATGCATTCACTTGTCTAACACTACGTGGTTCTTTTACGCGAACACTACAATCACTGCTAAGGTGCAAATTACAAACAAATGGCCCGTTGTTGGCCGCCCTGCGCTAATTTACTGCGCATCCATCACGTAGTGTTTAATAGCATGGTAGTTGTCGCGCTAACACCCGTGTACTACATTCACACCCGGCCTGATTCCGCGTAAAGTAGAACGAGTCACCGATACCGCTCCCTACCCATCTCTACTCCCTCCGCCCCCCCACTAACGAACGCGTGACACACGGCGGACGAATATCGTTAGAGACGTGAACATAAGCACGGGGTTTGCGTGGAGTCGAACGGACGAACAGCTGCTATTGAAGTCTGCGTTTCGTGACTTGCGTCGTCGTCGACTGCCGCTATTAGCAGTGCGAGCGTAGTTGAGTAGCCGCATCGAGGGGGGTGATTGTCACGGGGGGAGGATTCTCACTCGAGGGGGAGGTTAGATTGTCACGGGGGGGGAGACTTGAACACGAGGGAGTGATTGGTCACGAGGAGTGATATTGGGGTTTCCCACGCGGGAGAAGATTGTCACGAGGGGGTGATTGTCACGAGGGGGTGATTGTCACGGGAGGTGGGGAAGGTTGTCACCGGGGGGGGGTGATTTCCACCGAGGGAGGGGGTGGATTGTCATATATCTAGGTGCACAACTTGCTTGAGGGAATGGCGCAGCCAACAGCGGAACTTTCGCCGCGCTCGAGCCCTTTCCAGTCTCCGTTTTCGCTGACAAATTGGCAACCTAAGTGGGCGCGCGCTTATTCTTACAGACAAGGAACATTAGGAGCGCAGACCGACGAGGTGGAGTGCTAGCGGTCAAGTGCCTGATATCGGACTCATAGCCTCTCAGTGGTGCTACGATAGTCTGCGAGCTATTGAGTGCAGTAACCTTTGTAGCGTGAGCTATATTCACCCCGACCACACACAACGCTTCTTCTTGGTCCACGTCCTACCCCCACTGGCGTGAGGCTTTCTACATGCTTCAACGTTTTTTCGTAAGTGCCTACGCCTCCCATTTGCCCCCACTTCTCCTCTCCCACGCCGTTCTTTCTCTCTTGTCCTTACATTGGGGGTGTCCCCCCTCTCTCACGCCGCCTCAGCCGTCACTCCTACCGTCCCTTCATTTTCTTGCGCCTCCCCATCTCTGTCTCCTCTCATTGGTCCTCGCCATCGTCTTCCGTCCTCCTCTCTCCGATCCGCGGGGTGCAGTGAGTCAGCTGGTGACGGGCTCCCCCTACCTTATCGTTGGCAAGGCCTTCAGCTTAGTTCGGAGTCCTTCGTGCCCCCCTTTCCCCTCCCTACCCGCTCCCCTCCCTTCTTTCCATCACTCCCTCCCCCTCCCTCCCTCCTCCTCTCCCTCCTTCCCTCCTCGCCTCCTTCCATCCTCCCTCTCTCACTCTGGGGTGGCAGTGAGTCAGGCCGTGACGCTCCAATCGTTGGCACAGCAGTAGTCATAGTCCTTGTTGCCCCCTCCTCCCTCCCTCCCTCCTCCTCCCTCCTCTCCCTCCCTCTCTCCCTCCCTCCCTCCTTCCCTCCTACCTCCCTCCTCCTCCCTCTGCCTCCCTCCCCCCTCTCCTCCCTCCCTCCTCCCCTCCTCGCTCCCTCCTCCTTTCCTCCCTCCTCCTCCTCTCCGCTCTCTCACCTGGGGTGGCAGTGAGTCAGCGGTGACGCTCCACATGCGTTGGCACAGCAGTAGTCGTAGTCCTTGTTGCCACCCCTCCCCTCTCCTCCCCTCCCTCCCTTCCCTCCTCCTTTTTCCCTCCCTCCCTCCTCCTTCGCTCTCTCTCTCACCTGGGGTGGCAGGTGAGTCCAGGCAGTGACCTCCGCATCGTTGGACAGCATAGTGGCGTAGTCCTTGTTGCCCTCCTCCCTCCCTCCCTGCCCTCCTCCCCCCTCCCTCCCTCCCTCCTTCCCTCCTCCTGCACTCTCACATCTTAACCTCCCCTCCTTCCCTCCTCCTGCGCTCTCTCCTCCCTCCCTCCTCCCTCCTCCTGCCTCTTCCCTCCTACCTTCCCCTCCTCCCCCTCCTTCCTCCCCCCTCTCTCAAGCTGGGGTGGCAGTGATCGAGCGGTGACCTCCACCTCGTTTGGCACAGCAGTAAGTAATCAGTCTTGTTGAGGTCGTTGTTGTTGTTGTTTGCGCCGGCGGCTGCGGCGCTGCAAGGCTGCAGCTCGGGCTGACGTGCCGACGGACAGACTGCCACTTGTTCCGTCGCCGCCGTGTTGGGCGCTGCGTTGGCTCCTCGAAGCTCGCTCGATTCCGTGGCGAGGTCAAGAGTCAGGGTCATGGTCAGGTCAGTCGATAAAGTTGCGTGCGGCAGAACAGACTAATTAGCGGAGCCCGAATGGATACAACTGATGACAAGGTCAAGGTCAAAGGTCAGGGTCGGGATGGATGCTCACTGGACAGATGTAAAGCTACTCGCTGGGCAGACACGTTAGGTCTGGTTAACTGGCTAGAAGTTTAGGGTTACTTAACTGACAGATATAAATTTACTACCCTTGACCATAGATGGACCTTAGCCTGACAGGAATATAAAGTTTACTACAACTGGACTGTCAACACAGCCGCGAACAGAAACAGTTACCGCGGCTTGGTCACAAGTCCAGCCTGGCTTCAGTTGCCAGTAGAAGATTTCTACAGTAACAGATGATCCCCGATAACAGAAAGTCATTAATTCAGCGTTAATCAAATCCACAAATTCGTCGTTAAGCATCGTCGGGTGGCCGGCCGGCGCGTAGGGGGCGCGCACCGTCTGTCTCAACCTGCTCGCGATCGTCGACGACGTCAGTGCGGAGGTTCATCGGGGTCAAGTAGTTCCGTCATCGCTCGTCGTTCTCATGTTGTGCACGTGCAACCCAGTGTCAGGCAGCTGCATGAGAGACACCCCAACGAATGGAGCGCGAGCGAACAGTGACCGGGTTCACACCGACCCCGGCCCAAAACTGACCCAGTACCCATGTTGAATGACAGCAGGTGTGTACGCCAATCAGCTCTGCGATACGCGCATTCAAAAACAATGCTTACAAGCGACGTGTTTCTAGACGTCGGCGTCCACGACCGATGTATATGTATTATTGCGAGAGATACAGAGAGAGAGAGAGAGAGAGAGAGAGAGAGAGAGAGAGAGAAAGAGAGAGAGAGAGAGAGAGAGAGAGAAAAAGAAGAGAGAGAAGAGAGAAGAGAGAGAGAAGAGAAGACGAGAGAGAGAGAGAGAGAGAGAGAGAGAGAAGAAGAGAGAGAGGAAGAGAGAAGAGAGAGAGAGAGAGGAGAGAGAGAGAGAGTATAGATAGAGGAGAGGAGAGAGTGAGAGGGAGAGAGGAGAGAGAGAGAGAGAAGGGAGAGGAGAGAGAGAAGAGAGAGAAGAGAGAGAGAGAGCGAGAGAAGAAGAGAGAGCAAGAAGAGATGAGAGGGGACGAGAGAAAAAAGAGGAAAAGCAAGAGAGACAGGAAGAGAAAGAAAGAAGGAGAGAGAGGAGAGAGAGAGAGAGAGAGAAGAGAGAGAGGAGGAGAGGGAGAGGAAGAGAGAGAGAGAGAAAGAGATGAGAGAGAGAGAGAGAGAGTAGATAGGAGAAGAGAGAGAGAGAGTTGAGAGAAGGAGAAGAGAAGAGAGAGAGGTGAGAGAGAGAGAGAGAGAGAGAGAGAGAGAGAGAGAGAGAGAGAGAGAGAGGAGAGAGAAGGAGAGAAAGAGAGAAGAGAGAAGAGCAGAAGAGAGAGAGAGAGAGAGAGAGATTATGATACATGACGGCAAGTTGATATTAAAGAATTTCCTCTAGTAGTAGAGGTCTTATCTAGTTAGTTAATACCTATCTTAGTACTAATAGTAACACTAGACAAGCTTTATGATATGCGGGTGGGCAAGTCTGTTTATCTAAGTCTGTTATTAAAGAATTTGTTTTTCTCTCATTGACACGTGAGTAGGAAAGTTATCTAGACACTAGACAGATATTATCAGGAGTAAGATAATATAGGATCCTATTTATCTTACTCCCTGATAATTATGATATACGGTTGCAAGTCTGTTA